TGTGTGTGTGTGTGTGTGTGTGTGTGTGTGTGTGTGTGTATACACACACTCTACATCTTCTTCCATCTCAATCAATGGACCTTTGGCTTTTTCTATAATTGGGCTATTGTCAATAGTGCTGCTATAAATATCAGGGTGCATGTATGGCTTCAAATGTGTATTTTTGGGTCCTTTGGGTAAATACCTAGTAGTGCAATTGCTGGATCGTAGAATAGTCCTACTTTTCACTTTTTGAGGAACCTCCACGCTGTTTTCCAGAGCGGCTGCACCAGTCTGCATTCCCACCAGCAGTGGAAGACGCTTCCCCTTTCTCTGCATCCTTGCCAACACCTGTTGTTTCCCGAGTTGCTAATTTTAGCCATTCTGACAGGTGTGAGGTGATACCTCGTTGTAGTTTTGGCTTTTCATTGTTTTAAAACATTGCCTGGCACATAACCCGCGCTACATAAGCCTCTGGCAAACGGTAAATAGAGTAACTTGACCTTGATTGCATGGCTTCAGACTGGAATGGTCAGAGGGAAAATATAAATAAGACGTGTCTGAGTGGGTCTGCTTGGGCCATTTGAGAATCCATCTGGGCTCCGTTTAGGAAACATAACCAAAGAATAGAGTTTTATCAGCCGAAGCATCCCACCCGCTGCAAACACGGAGGAAATTGTCCTTTCATAGATTAGTGCTCTGGACACCTGCCTGCCTGCCATTTCCTCCGTGTCAATAAAGGCTAAAATAGACCGACCTCATTAGTGCCGGGAGGACATGAGCAGTTAAATGGTTGCTGCACGAATCCTGTTCAAAGGCACAGTGTCAGAGGAGGAAACAACAGTTAGGCCTCGTTACTGACGTTCCTTCATTTACAGGAAGCCTCAGTGGGTTTATCTGGGGCACACAATTGAAGTTCACCCTCTTTATCATTTTCTCCCGTGAGGTCTCATCAGTGTTCGTGCACCGGGCAGACTGGGCGTTTCAAGGCGCCGGAGTTCTCACTATGCTGAACATGATCAACAACATACAGGTTATGTTCGAACCGGGTCATCTCTGAATCTGCGCTCTCTCTCCCCATTCTGGTTTTCCCTCCCCTCAGCTGGACCTCCCCAGCCCCCGCCCCCACCCTGAGGCCCTAGAAGCCAGCCTGGCCCCAACCTCCCTTTTCAAGCCAGTTTTCGAATGCTCGGTGGTTAATTTACCCCCTTTCTTTTCCTACCTTCCTTTCCTGCATGAGCTAATTTGGCAAATTTTCCTAGTCATATGGCCATTCTGGGGAGTTTCAAGGGTATTATGAGTCAATTTCATTAATTCCAATCTTAGAGTTGAAGAGCCGACCTTGTTCTTTTTTTTTTTCCTTTTTGTTTTTGTTTTTTGTTTTTGTTTTTTTTTTTAGGTACTAAGGAGACCTCTCACTTGGCCTCCGAGATACTACTACTGTCCGTGACTGGTCATAGATTTTGCTTGTTTTCTTCTTTTTAATATATATGTATATATGGTACTTAAATGAAAGAAAATAAAAACAAGGGGAAAAAAAACCCCATTACTTTTGCTCTGAATTTAGAACCAAACTCTAATTCCTCTTCCAGACTGTCATGACCACAAGGAAATGAGGAATATCCTCCCATAAAATGTTTCCCCTCCTGATTTCTTTCAGATGCTTCAAAGCAGTCAGGAGTTTGAGGTCTTTCTTTGGCCAAAGTCTGGTTCAGGTCATATATTCTCCGGGTGCCTGAGGCTGGGCAGTGTAGAGGAACAAATAACATTAGACATCTGTGCTAACTAGGACTGCCAGATTTAGCAAAGGATGTTTGAATTTCAGGTACAAACGAACACGTGTTTTAGTATAAGTCTTTGCCGTTCAAATTGGTAATATCTGCAATATATGTCTCATATAGACAGACTTATACCAACACGGATTTCCTGCTCATCTGAAACTCAAATGTAACGGAATGCTACAGTTTCGTTTTGGTTTTGGTATGTTGGCTACCCTACTCCCACCCCACAAGGTCAGAGCCCCTTGTCAGGGGCCCCTGTAAGCATACACAGATTACGCTCATGCTCTGACACACACTTCTTGTCCCCCTTCACCTACCCCCCCGCCCCCGTTAGGGTCTAGATAGTGCAGGGGGTGAAGAGAGGTATTTCTCCGAGGGATTGAAATTCCCCAGGGATGGAGAAGCGTTTGTTAGATCTCTATGACAGTCGTCAGCGGACTGTCACATCAGCATCTGCCGGCGGGGACCAAAGAAGTTCGGGAAGCTGAAGAAAACTCTTCTCCCCCTGTGCTTTTAGGACAGGTTTGAGATTTTAGAGTCCAGATACACTATACCAGTTGAAATAACAGAAAAAGTGCCAAACGGGATATAAAAGAACTCACCTGATAAATTAGAATGATGTATACAGCCATTATTCACAAATGGAAATGTCTCCTTTTGGAGACAGTTTTGGAGACTGTCTCCTCTCCTGTCCTGTTCCAGATGAGAAGAGAGACTCAAAGCAGTTTCCTGTGCGGAATGAGATGGAAGGGGTGTGTGTGTGTCTCTGTGTGTGTACACATGTGTGTAGGGGGAGGGGTAATAGGGGGAGGAGGTAGGAGAGGAGGAGGGAGAAGAGGAGGAGGAGGGGGAGGAGGGAGAAGAGGAGGAGGAGGGGGAGGAGGGAGAGGAGGAGAGCTGAGACAGAACTACCTAAAGTCCAAATACCTTCCCATTGTATTGCTACAAGTTTGTGTGTTTCTATAACTTTTTTCTACAACCTGAAAAATATTACGTAACCAACACAGGTCCCTTGGAGAAATTTCAGAAGTTCATGCAAACACAAAGAAAACTCTCTTCCATAAACCCAAAGCACACAGAGTACTACTGTTACCATTTTGGTGGACGAGAGAGAGAGAGAGAGAGAGAGAGCACATTGATATGGGTGGCCCAGCATTCATTCTGCCTTCCTCAGGGAGCCACACCCACATTTTGTTCCATACATGGCCCCTCAACCCATAGAAAATCATTTCAAGTGGGACTGCCAATCTGGATGTCATGAGCTCTGTTGGCGAGACAGTAGGCAGATGACCAAGGTGGTATTTCTATCTCTCACTAAGTGAGCCTCACAAACTGAAAATGCTGGACGTCTTTCCTTCCAAGAGGAAAACAGCGAGGAGATCGCCCATTGGTTCCCATCACACAGACGCCCAGTGCGTCACTGGGTCCTGGGCCTTCTGAGAATTAATTCTTCAGCTTTCCTTTCAATTCTTTTATAGTAAATTGATTGCATTGATGGTCCCAATTGGTCACCTCCATATTCGTGCTAATTCCAGGGGTAGAATCCTATGAAGAGGTAGAGTCTAGTTCTGCACCCCTTGGGTCTCGGATGCCTTGTGATTTGCTTTGGCCTGAATACAGGGGAGGCGAGGGTGTTCCAGCTCAGAGCTTACTCTTCCAGAGGCCCTGTGTGCTCTTTCACTGTTCCTAGAACCCTGACTCCACTCTAAGAACAAGAAGGGCCTAGGTTGCTGGGGGCTGAGAAAACGTTGGAAGGAGGGTCTGGGGCCTCACTGCCCAGAGAGATATGGGAAAGAGCGGCCTACATTACTGAGCTGAATAAACTGACTTTTCTAAGCCACTGTATTTGAGATGGTTTGTTATGCAGCAGTAGCTAACTGATACATCCATGAACTTCCACATCAGTCCGATAAATTCTTTTTCTTGTCAGCCAGAGTGAATTTCTGGGGCTGTGAACAAAGAAGTCAAATTGAGACTTTCCATTCTTTTACCAAAATATAATCATACGCTATATCCTCTTTGGGAATCTCGCTATGTCCTTTAGCAGTTGATTTTGAGCATCTTTCCCTAACAGTAAACTGGGACCAGGAAAGAAGGAAAATCTACCCAATGCCACTTCTGAGCCTCTGCCCAAATCCTTTTACATCATGACATTATGGCCATTGGCCAAATTTCCATTTTTAGATATGCCTCGCATGACCTGTTCAGCAGGAAATGCCTTTGTTCAGTGAGAGTGTTGGACAGTATAATGATTTTTCACAGCTCGCTGGCCAAGAGAAGGACAGAGTCATGCCTCAGAGGTGCTTGGGAGCATGAACATTTCCAGGCACTGTTTACCTCTTTGGAAAAAGAAGACAGTAATTTTATTCAAAGTGTTCTATTCTCTTCAAAAGGATAAGATATGTGGATGGAGAAGACAGAAAAAGAGATAGTCCCTATAATGACTTTATTTTCTGAAAAAAAAAATCTAATTGAAGCTCTCCAGTCCTTTTTTCCCTGGTCATCCTATTTCCAACATCTGCTTTTCCTTTTGTTTTTCACTGAATGGTGCCTTAACTTGACATATTATTTGTCTGGAAGAGTAGGACAAGGGGAGAATGCGATGTCTGTCTGATAATCTGAATCTTATGCTAATGGAAATACATTAAAATATCCCCCGCCCCGCCCCCAATAATGAGCGTTTGCCAAATGGATCTCCTGCAATTCTGCACATCTTTCTGTTGGAGGGAGTTTTCTGAATGCATCATCTGCTTTGGTCCTTTCCAAAATGGCGTACAACCAGAAGTCTATTATTATCTTGATTCTTTTTCCTTTGTATCTGATTTTTTGCCGATAATAATAGCTAGCACTGGGGTACCTGGGTAGCTCAGTTGGTTAAGCATCCAACTCTTGATTTTGGCTCAGATCGCGATCTCATGGTTCATGAGATCGAATCTCACATTGGGCTCCATGCTGACAGTGTGGAGCCTACCTGGGATTCTCTCTCCCTCTGCCTCTCTACCCCTCTTGGCATTTCACTCACCGAATCCTCACAAAACCTCCATGAGGGAAGCATTATTTCCCCGAGGCTTAGGGAAGGCAGGTTAGTCATACAAGGCCCTGTAGGTAACAAGTATCAGAGCTGGGATTTCAACCCCAGTTTGTCAGACTTCTGAGTCAAAGTGTTTTAACTTGTTGCTATACTGCCTCAGTCACTTTGGGATTTTAAATAAAGACCAAAAAACCACAAGACACATTAAATCACAGTATGGAACCCATACTTTTTTCTTTTTTTTAAGGCGAAAGCAATAAGTGGTCTTAATGAGCTTCTTTCCGATCCCGCAAGGGTATGATGTTGAAATTATACCTGATCCTGTCTTTTCCACCCGGAGCAACTTTCCCAGTTTTCCACGTAAGCCTGAGGGGACAGGAGAACACACAGTATCTCCCTGAATGAGACCACAGGGGACCGCGATACAGAACCCCACGCAGAAACTTGAGAAACGTTCACAATGTTAACTGCGGACAATTGTACAGGTACTTGAGGGGGAGAAAGAATGGATGGTATGCTGAGCAAGCTCTCTCCTTTTTGAAGTGGATTTTATCTTAAAGGGTGGATATTTATGGAAAACACAAGATCACCTACAAGAAAAGCCAAGAGCAAGAATGACAGCCCATTCTATCAATCGGCGTATCCGAAAGAACTTGGTGTAATCAGGGAAATGTGTTCTCGCTGTGGTGTCCAATATGCTAGCCACTGACCTCGTAGGACTATCGGTCCCTTGAAATGTGGCCAGTGCAGTGGACGGGACTGAATGTTTAATTTTCATTAATCTTAGTTAGTTACTTTTAAGGAGCTGGAATTTAAATGTTAATCGCTACATGTAGCCAGTGACTTATTGGACACTATAGGTCCAAATGGCTACAGAAGTGTCGTGAGTGTAGTAGGTGGGCGTCAGTGGGAAGGTTTCACGGAGACATATTTTGAGCAGCTTTCAAAGTGGAGTAGGGAGGGAGGAAAATGCAGCTGGAATGAAAAAGAAGCAAAGAAACAAAAGCCTTGTCGTACTAGAGCACCGGAGGTTACAGATTCAAACGCCTACTGTAAGGACCATTAAAACGACATAAACAAGGGAAATAGGGTGCGGTTAAGAGACAGTAGGGTGCAGTGGCGACTGTGGAAAGTTAGAGACACTACCTGCATCTAAAGCATCAATCGCTACTCCGCTCCAACCAGTTACCGCCATACAGAAATGCAGACCCACTGGTGACTATCTGCTTATGTTTTGAGAGAGGTCAGAAATTCAGAGTTTTATGTTGCCGTCTAGTTTCGGATGTTGGCACCTGCATCAGTCAGTGTGGGCTAAACATTTTCAGCAGACGTTGTTGGTGGCCTCCTCGTGTCCACTCGGCACTTGTCTCCGCCCACCACGCTGCCTCCTGAACACAACTTTAAGTCTTGCTCAAAACACTGTATGCGCACTCAGCATTTGTGCAGGGTATGCCCGGAAGGTTGAAGAATTAATGCTTTTGGAGGCATCGTCCCACCAATGACAGACACACGGGGAGTGCATGAATCCCCAGTCTCTTCACCCCTCCGCTGAGACAGCCCTGAGGCGTCTTCTGTGTTCCCCCAGCGTTCCCTTGTGTGACTGAGCTGCCCACAGCAGACGCTGACAGACAATGTATCATTCATTGGTTTCCACTCCTTCCCCATCCCACCTCCCCACGCACCCACCGATGTTTCCAAGGGATCGCCTCCAAATAAGCCACTTGCACGGGAATCCATATCTTATAACCCGATTTTAGAGGGACCCAAACAAAGACACGGTTGTCGCACACAAACTCAACAGCTCAGGGGTGTTGCTGTTCCCTCCCATCACAGCCAGTGCAGGTCACGGTGGAGACCCTGTCAGCTCCTTCAGGGGCAGAGGCTCTCTTCTTCATGAGGATCTACATCTGCTACGCTAGTTTCCCTCCGTGCGTCCAGCTGCGGATACAGCTCGAATACTGGGGGAAGGATTTGCCATGACACTGCCCAGAAGCGTATGTTCCATTGGCAGAACTCAGTCTCGTGGTCCCTGCTCTACGCTGGGGAAGCTGGGACCTGTGGTGTAGCCCTGCACCGTTACAAAAGTAGCTGGTGCCATTGCAGCTCGCTTAGAGTTTGAAAAACACCGTCCTGGCCAAAGAAACCATGCATGTCTGTGCACCCCAGTCAGCTTGCCGTTCACCAGTTTGCAATTTCTGGCCCACGCATTATTGCCTAAAATTGAGGGAAAAAAAAAGTGCTAGTAAGTGACCCGAGTTGTGAACTTACACGGAATCAAGCATCACACCTTTTTCCCAGTCGGGTGATAAAATAGATGTATGGAAATCAAATCAGTTCTTCATTGACTAATTTAAATTTTTTTTTGACATTTATTTATTTTTTGAGAGACAGAGAGAGACAGAGCACAAGTTGGGGAGGGGCAGAGAGAGGAGACACAGAATCCGAAGCAGGCTCCAGGCTCCGAGCTGTCAGCACAGAGCCCGACGCGGGACTCGAACTCACGAACCGTGAGATCATGACCTGAGCCCAACCCAGGCGCCCCGATTCATTGACTAATTTTATAATTTCTGGGGGGAAAATAATTTCACCTCTGATAGTTCTTCCGTGAACAGAGGCTCCCAACATGGTAGCCTTTCTTAGTTCTTGCATTCTCTGTGAAGTGTTTCTCTATCTGTAAATAAAAGGTGATTTAAACACAGTCTTATGCCCCGCCCCCTTCCTTTTGGACCCCTCCCCCCCTTGCTCTTGACCCCCCGGTGATGGTTTTTTTTTTTTTTTTTTCCTCACACTTGCCAAACTTTTCCCCACCTCCGTGGCTTTGCAGATACGGTTCCCTCTTAAAGGAATGTGTTCCTTCTCTCCACTCCTCCCATTTTCCCATTCTTTACTGGCCCCCACGTATCAGTCAAGTCTCAGGAACAGAGTAGAAATGTTCTTTCCTCAGAGATGCTTTCACTGACCACCCTAAAATCAAGTCACTTTCCTCTGCCCACAGTCATTCTCGTTCATTCTGCCTGTGACTGTTTGGAACCCTATTTGTCTATTTCATAGATGTTTTCCCCAGAGCCTGCTCATTGCGGCACCACACAGGCAGCGCCTAGCAGGGTCTGGTGTGGTGCTCAAAATAGGCTCGCATAAATAAACACCAAGGAGAGTCCGCGCCTTTAAAGAATTTGGCGGGGATGCCCTTTCTCATTAAAATAGCACACCCCAATCCGTTTTGCACGTTTGTTGAGCTTTACTGGGATTTCAGCAAGAGGAGTATTTGTACAACGAATGCTACCTGAAGCAACAAAAGAAAATAAGAATTCTTTCTTTAATCCCAGAAATCCATGAACCTATTAGTGTTTTGTAAAACGGGCCCGGATAAAACCCGCTGTGATCATTTATGTCAACAGGAGGGCAGGGTTGAAAGCTCTTTGAAAAAGTGAGGAGGCGTCACAGTGGAGAGGGTTATTTCCCAAGAGCATAATTGGCCTAAATAATCTACCAAGTTGTTCAGGGAAGAATAACATTGGGAGTTAGCTTCTGTTTCTCCCTGTTTTGTTTTGTTTTGTTTACCTGTGTACTCCATCCATCATTCTGAATGATACTCCCAAAGGTAGCCCCACCTTGGGCCCCCCCCCCCCCCGAGATAGTGGCCTGTGTGGAAATAAACTAAGGGTGTTACATTAAAAGTGGGTGGAGGTTTTTTCCAAGGGCATTTTCTCCTTCATGTCTGTGCTACTGTTTCGTCTTTAATTGTTCTAAAATGGCCCTGGCGGCATTATGCAGAAGTTAAAAGTCAGCTGGCCAGACCATTCGGTTCCAGGTCCCGCACCTGCCAGTTGCGATACCGAACGTGTCACTTAGTGGGGTCTCAGCCCCGATCCCTCATGTGTGAAAGGGGAATGTTGGCACCTCTTTCGAAAGGTGACGACGGCCATGCATGAGTACTGCAACACGTAGACCCTCTAGAAAAGGAGAAAGAGAAAAAGGAAAAAGGAAAACTTACCTTGAATCCACTATGAACTTGTTACCTATTTATGTGCCATAAACTCTCTGGGGTGCACCTATCTTTTTCTGGAAACGTCAAATGAAAGGGTGGTGGGTTCTAAGACTTCTGCGGTGCTTTGGTGGTAACATCCTGCAGTTCGTGGTAAATGACAAAAGACCCGGAGGTTCTGCTTTTGCTCGAGATTGTGTCACGCCAAGCTCCAAGTGCACACTGCAGCTGTCTATCTAAGAAGCAGTGACTTGCTTAGTTCGAAATGTGGTTTTCGGTTTTGGGTTTTTGTTGGGGAGGGATTTGGTGCCAACTGGTGGGATTTGAAAGCGTTTTCCCCGTGGGAGGCAGATTCGGAAGTCTGGCCTGCTAAGACTCTTTTGGAAGCTGAAACTAATTAAAATATTTATTTTAGCCCCAGTAGCTAAGACGCAGCAGGGGAGGAAGTCCAACATTCATTTTTATGAAAGTGTAATTATACTCACTAACCTTTTGTGTACCCTGTTCAGCAACTGCCCCGGGGCCACCCCACCTCAAACACCTGCCCGGTGTGTGAGTATTTGGTAGAACAGTACTTAATGCCTGAGCCCAGGGCATGCGGCGCTCCCCACCTCCACCAAAGACAATAGAGCCTTGTTATAACGTTCATCACCTATAGACTCACCTCTGGGTGAAGTATTTTCCTAGTTTCACCTTCAGTGAGAGCCATAAAGCTATGCAAAAGAGAAAAAGGAGAAAGAAGCTAAAAGAGAAAGCAGTTGCCCATTTCTGTATGTGATATCACGGAGATTGAGTAAGACAGGAGACTGTGTAAGAGCCCTCTGTACTTCCTGACCACTTACACAATCCTTGATGAAGTGTAGAGTCACGTTACAAGACAAGCTAATGTAAACATGCCCTGTTTTTAAATGGTGACGACGAATAATGATTGCACTTTCCACGAAAAAGGTGCTCAGGAGCCTGGGTGGCTCAGTCCGTTGGGAGTCCGACTTCGGCTCAGGTCATGATCTCACAGTCTGTGAGTTCGAGCCCCGCGTCAGGCTCTGTGCTGACGGCTCAGAGCCTGGAGCCTGCTTCCGATTCTGTGTCTCCCTCGCTCTCTGCCCCTCCCCTGCTCATGCTCTGTCTCTCTCAAAAATAAAATAAACATTAAAAAAATAAATAAAAAGAAAAGAAAAGAAAAAAGTGCTCAGGGGATGAGCCTGGTAGATGACCCAGAACTAGGAACACTCAGGATGTCCAAGCACTGGGGCCAGAGGGTTCACTCGCATTCCCGTGTTACTCCTCCCTACTCTCCACCATAGGTGTTTCCATGAATGAGGAAACTGAGACCCCAGGAAGGCCGGTGACTTGGGAAGCAGTTCTTAGTGGGCTGAGAACATACACCGAGGGGTCCCATGGACCCCTGAGGTTGGAACCCCCGCTCCGCTAATGACCAGCGTGACTTTGGGCAAGGTACTTAATCTCGTTAAACCTCCATTTTGCCATCCCCAAAAGGGAGGTGATATGCTAATGAGCTACCTTTCCTGTGAAGATTCAGTGAGTTAATGTACGTCAAATACCTGGCGTGTCACCTGTCGCTGGAGACTCGGTGATTCGCGCGTTGTCATCACCATCCTCAGTGACGGCACAAGCTTGGAGGGAGCACGAGCCAGGATACCAACCCGGGTGCAGTGGGGAGCAGTGCGGAGCCTGCTTGGGATTCTCTCTCCCTCTCTCTCTGCCCCCTCCCCCCCAATAAATAAATAAACTTGAAAAGCAAGAATTGCCCAGAAGCAGGTCCTCCTGCCCCTGGGACACGCCCTACGTGGGTCCTTGGACTCCTACCCCAGGCTTTTAAGAAAAATCTATTTGATGAGCTAAGAAGTATTTGTTTTATCAAGGGGAGAGAGACTCTGGGAGGCTTCTAGAATTCCCAGCCGTGATGAGGAAAAGGACTTACAGTGTATGTATTATGTCGTTACAGGCCACCTCCCCATTTTCTTCCCCCAAGACTTTCCTCCCACACTTGGGCCCTCTCCTCCCTCTCCCCCTCTTGACATGAGCTCATTCTTCAAGGGCCAGTTCAAATCCCATCACCTCAGCGTGATGTCCCGATCTCCCCTCTGGACCTCTGAAATGTTTATGTTTAGTTTAACACTTAATTGACTTTTCTGTTTCTTATGGACTAACCTCCCTCAAAGAGATTGTGTACTTCCTTTGTCTATCCCGTAGGGTTCGATACTACGTTGAAAACCCAGGAGGCTCTAAATAGAGACGTGCTCTGGATAGATTCTCGTTGAGAAGTGGATAGATTCTCGTTGAGAAGTGGACAGGTCTCGGCATTTCTGAGACGCCAGTCTGGTAGTGAGAACTGAACTGTAAACTTGGCACAGAACTTTAAGGCTTGGTCCCCACCCCTCAAGGTACTTTCATCTCTGAAGAGAACAAAGCTCGCAGCCTTTCATAATCATAACTGGGAGACACTGTGGCAGAGAGGGCAGTAATGTGGGTTCTAGTTAATTCCCCCGGCTTCGCTTAACATTAAAACGGACATAATCGCAGTACCAACTTCACGGAGTCTTTGTTGGGTTTAAACGAGGTCACGCCAGTCAACTTCAGCGCAGAGCTTGGCATTGAGAGTTCAGAGTTCGTCACAGGTCGGTTCAGAAATGAGGAGAGCAGTTGTCCAAATGCAAGTACTCCAGAGGCTTACCTGGACGTATTCCACGTCCAGCCCAAGCTGCCGTCAAATTCTTTCAAGGCTTTTCACGCTAAGTGTGAGCCCACAGTAGGAACAGACACTCTGCCCGTGCCATTTCCGTGCCCTGGGGTAGACAGAGGGGGAAATAGCGCTGAAGAATTGATAGGAAAGGAACTCGCTTCTGGGTCTGGGAAGTCACAGTGGAGGGGTGGCTTTCAAAGTCACGGCCATGTATTGTTGTGTTTTTTTTTTTCACCCCTGAAATAGAGGGGTGGGTAAATTAGGGACACGGAAAGCAATAGGGTCCCAGGTGGCGAGCCTAGAGAAGTTGGTTGCTGTGTCCTCCGCGACGGGGCGAGGGCTGAGCTCACTGGGCTGCGGTGGGACTGTGTTTGCTTTTGTGCAGCAGAGGCCCTTAATTCGGGCAACGTTTCCTAAGACCGCTTTGAGGACAACAAGCAGGCAGCTTTGGGATTACTGAGCTAGAGTCAGCTGGCCTCAGAGGCATCGTAGGGGACAGCTGTGCGGCTCTGGGAGCAGTTGTGTCCTTCGCTGGCGCAGAGGAGGGAGGAAATCAGCTCTCCGGGCAATGCCTTTGGTCCGCGTGAATGTGCTCTACCGGGGTCTGCGGTCCCTTGAACAGGTATTGACTTGGTTTCTGGCGGTCGCTGGCCTTGTTGGAAACACCCACGACGATAAAACGGAGCTTCCCACTGGCCGCACTCAGCACGCACTTAGCAGGGGGTGGGGGTGGGGTGGGAGGTACCACAAATGGTTAAAAGGGGGTTCTGGTTCAAAAGCTCCTGTTCCAAATTTAACCCGTGTGTTTGGTGAACTTCTGGGGGGGGGGCCGGGGGTGGACACCTGCCCAGGGGGGTCTCAGGTTGATCCTATTAATATGCATCCCTCCAGCTGGGGCAAGTTACAGTGCTAGGTTGCACTTGGTTGACCCATGGTTTTGGATGCGAGCTTGCTCCTCGCCTGAATGAAGATAAAAGAGAACCGCCCACAAGTACAGATTCAGCAGAAGCACGTGTTGAAATACACAGAGGAAGCTTTGCAGGCTCAGCAAGGATCAGCTGAACCTTTCAGGAAGGTGATAAGGAAGACGCCCCAACGACAATAACAGCTACACCGAGAGCATTTCCGGCTGGCGGCCGCCGTGCCCTGAGCTCGAGAGGATTCCTGCAGTACCTCAGTTCTCGCCCTCGCGCTGCAGGAAGCTAGTAGGATCTTCCTCCAGGTTGAGGAGCCCCAGGCACTGAGAGGTCAGGTGCATGCCCAGAGTTATCCCAGACGGAAGTTCAGTGGCAGGACTTGGGTGCAGGTTGGCCTGACTTCGTTCGGAGTCTCCGCCCCTTCCCCCAGGCTGTCCCCGTTAGCCGCTGACACAGGCTTCGCTGACACCTGTAAGGACGGCCCAGTTGCTGGCCAGTGCACAAAATCCCCAGAAAGCGGGGCGGGGCACAGAAAGAAATACAAAACCAAGTGTGCCTGCAAAATAGTTCTGGAAGTTCTGGAAAAAAAAAAAAAGTACCATTTGTGTGGTCACTCATTGGATGAGATAAGGGGCATCTCCCAAAGAAAAGAGTCATCCTTCCTGGGGTGGAGACGGTCTCTGCTTCCTGTCCAGAGCCCTTCGGTCAAAAGCCTGCACCTCGTAGACAGGAGGGGCTGGGTGTCATAGGACAAATCAGGTCTGGAGGCTGAAGGTCCCCAGTGAGAGTCCCAGCCCTACACCAGACGAGCTCAATGCCCTGGGCGAGTCACCTCACCTTTTAGGGACTCAATTTCCTGGACTGTAGAAAAGGAATAATACAAAACGCAAGTATAACGTATCCCCTGGCCTACTTCACAAGGTCCCGTGGAGATCAAACTAATTATATGAACCTGCTGTAAAACACTCGCAGAAACGTCTTCATTGAGCTTCATTCCTTGGAAATACTGCCGGACAGCAGGGAGGGGGCCTCACTGAGGACTGAGAGCTTGGGGATGACCTCACAGAAGAAGAGGACAGCTACACAGTCTTCTGGGTTCTGGAAGCCTTAAACAGGTCCGTTCTCATTTTTAGGGCAGATCACAATCACGTTTGAAAGCCAGAAGAGTGAAGGATGGGGTCCAAGGTTCTGTCCAGCTCTGTTTCAGTGAAAGTCGCCTTGCCAGCTTCCGTCCCTGTAAGCCCCCTGGCTTCCTCCTCCACGGGACTCTGCGCGCCTAGGGAATGACGTTTCCCGGGGGCAGGGAAGCATAATGGTCAGGCCCCAGGGTCTGGATTGGGAGTTCTTACTACCACCGATTTCTTCACCGCTCTAAACCCGTTTCCTGAGCAGAAAGAAAAGGAAGATGATAGTAATACCTACCTTAGAAAGTCATTGAAAGTATCTGGGGCGCCTGGGTGGCTCAGGAGGTCAAACGTCTGAGTCTTGGTTTAAGCTCAGGTCAGGATCTCACGGTCAGGGGACCGAGCCCCATGTCGGGCTCTGTGCTAACATCCCGAAGCCTGTTTGGGATTCTCTCTCTCCTCCCCTGCTCATATTTGCTCACTCTCCCTCTCTTTCGCTCTCTCTCTCTCTCTCTC